CGCATGGAATAGTCTTCATTTCTCAGAACAAGAATAGACTGACGACTTTCAGAAGAAAGTTCTTTGTTTCTGGCCATTTTTATTCTGTAATCGAACCCACAATTGCTGATGCTCCAGATACTCAACTAGTCTCAAGAAGGCCAGTTTTATTGCTTCTTTAATCAGCACAACTGTTTTCAGCTGTGCTAGCTTAATTGCAAAAGGGTTTCTAATGATCAATTAGCCTTTTAAAATGATAAACTTGGATTAGCAAACACAACGTGCCATTGGAACACAGGACTGATGGTTGCTGATAATGGGCCTCTGTACGCTTATGTAGATATTCCATAAAAAATCAGCCGTTTCCAGCTACAATAGCCATTTACAACATTAACAATGTCTCCACTGTATTTCTGATCAATTTGATATTTTAATGGACAAAAAAATTGCTTTTCTTTCGAAAACAATGACATTTCTAAGTGACCCCAAACTTTTGAACGGTAGTGTATATAATAAACACTCAACACGAGGGCTGTGTTCAAACAGTGAAATCAACATTTGATTAAGGACAGAGGCTAAACTGAATTAGGAAATTATCGTATGGAGTGTTGGCAAACAACAGTGTTTATTGACAATGGAGGGACTGTCTTGAAGCCTGTTTTCTTTTGAACCGGCATTGCCAAGTCAACCTAAAACAGCAGGTTCCTCAATCACTCCCCGACCAAACAGCAATGTTTAAACTGTGAAGGATAACAAGGTCTACTTTTACTACACAGAGTTCATCCAGCCAAAGTAATGATACGCTGAAGTAATTGCGTTACACACGTACTCTATTGCCACCTACCTTGGTGGGCCCCTCTCAGTCAGTCCACCAGGCAGACAACAGCTGAACTTCCATCTCCAGCGGCACGTCTCTCTCGTAAATATCATTGATTCATCCAAACACAGTGCTGACACAAGACTAGAACGGAGGTTTACAATACGTGGGTTACAATTAGACTGATTACGATTGTATTTATTTCATTTAACCTTTATTTAACCAGGTAAGCCAGTTGAGAACAAGTTCTCATTTACAACTGCGACCTGGCCAAGATAAAGCAAAGCAGTGCGATAAAAACAACAACACAGAGTTACATATGGGGTAAACAAAACATAAAGTCAAAAATACAACAGAAAATATATATACAGTGTGTGCGAATGTAGTAAGTTATGGAGGTAAGGCAATAAATAGGCCATAGTGCAAAATAGTTACAATTTCGTATTAACACTGGAATGATAGATGTGCAAAAGATTATGTGCAAATAGAGATACTGGGGTGCAAATTAGCAAAATAAATAACAATATGGGGATGAGGTAGTTGGATGGGCTAATTTCAGAATGGCTGTGTGCAGGTGCAGTGATCGGTAGGCTGCTCTGACAACTGACGCTTAAAGTTAGTGAGGGAGATAAGAGTCTCCAGCTTCAGAGATTTTTGCAGTTCGTTCAGATCAAACCTCACACAACGTTTGGGAATAGAGTCAAGAGCATCGCAGTGAAGATCAAGAGAAGTTCACAGAACATTATGGGTGTTATGTTACCTGTAACAATTACTCTTGCTCTTACTCTCTCCTTTGTTCCTGGTCAAGATTCAAGCTGACTGACAACAGAGAACGATCTCCCCAATTAAAGGAGCTAACAAGAAGAGACTCACATCTAAGTCATGTTAACTGGCTTTCAGTTGTTCTCATGTCAACAGTTACACTCTGTGACAAACCTGCGTCCCATAAGGCACCCTATTCCCTACTTAGCGCATTACTTTTGACCAGGGCAGCACTCTATTCCCTATATAGTGCACTACTTTTGAACAGAACTCTGGCCCCTGGTCAAAGGTAGGGCTGTAAATAGGGAATAGGGTGCGATTTGGGACGTAGCCAAAGGTTCCAGTATCTAGACTATGCACCTTTAATGAGAACCTCTAAGCTCAGTGACTAGACCACCGGGAGTTCATTCATCATTGCCCTTATGATAGTCAGACATTACCCCAGGAGGACTCCTATTGGTCTGATTGATCCAAGGAAATGTGTCTGCCTCATGACATATAGCCACTTAGAGTGGCAGGCCTTCATTGTGTTTTTCAATCAACGGGCAAAGGCAGACACATATCCGAATACACCGCATTCCTCAGGGCACTGTTCGGAGGAAGACGTGGAAAAGTACACCTCTCCATTGAAACACGGCAGGCAGGCAGAGAAAGGCAGTCACATTAATACCAGGGCTTCTATAAATCTATCCACTGTCTATGTAGTTCCTCTGTTTTTACCCATGCTGAGCCGTGGCAGCTTGAGGAGAGAGCGCTCCTGGCGCTTTCCCTGTCTGTGGCCTACCTCTGTATTAAACACTGCTGGCTCCACTGCAGCGTGAATTCCTGGAAAAAATGAACTTGTGTCAACTTGCAAGGCTCAAACTAATACAGCAGGATATATTTTTTTTAACATCATAAATAACTCAAAACAACACATTTTTTGTTTGGTGGCAAAAGGATATAGTTGAAGCAGAAGTGTTGAAAATATATCTTACAGAATGGTCATTGGAACGGAGTGAGGTGAAACCCTCAACCCTGACCCAGTATGAAGTCAACCAATTTGAATAACACTTACACAATGTGTTGAAGGTCAATGGAAGGAAAAAGTGACATACGTTTCTATAAATCTACCCGTTTATAAAGGGTTATGCATTTAAATCTCTGCTTTGTCTTGGTCTAACAAATAAAGGCACTAAAATTAGACAAAAAAATGAAATTTGAATTAATTGCTACACAGACCAGAATACAAAAAATACAAATAAATCAAGACTAGAGAGAATAGTTTACTTTTTATTTGTATAGTAAGTGCAGAAACTCACTTGTCAATTGAATTACATTTCTACAAATACTGTAACTGGAAAACAACTAAATGGACATGAAATGAACTTTGTAGAATACAAAAAGTTTAATCAATGAACAACCAAGTATGAGAGTATCAAAACTCTGTCTATGAATCCAAACAAATGCTGAGAAATTATCTTTAAATCATTCAACATTCCATGACAAAATCATGTTTTCTAAACTTGTGTCTTGCCTTCAATCCAGAAAACAACAAAACAACCTTCTTTCATTTTGACAAGTGCTGTTTAAACATACATACAGTAACAGTAAAACACTCCAAGTCCAAAAGTTGTTCTATGGGGAATGGATAGGCCAAGACCTTGCTTGGTCATGCATTTATCTCACATATGAAATGCCACATTTGGTCTGATTTCATAATTTGGTAGACTACAGCTTAAACTTAACATGGTAAAGTGGTCCATTCTACTGCTAACATGCTGTATGTAAAGAATGCCTAATATTGTAGTAAAGCTTAGTCAGAATAGTTTTGTTATACCAAGTTTTTCTCCCTTAAAGTGATATTATTTTGTACAAAAACTGTATTTAGATTAAATTAAACACAAAATGTTGCTGATTCCACAGATAGAGCTAGTAGATCCGAAGATAGAGTGATCCTGTGCAGTGTGCAGTAACTGTCATGGTTACAATATTAACTATGAACCCTCTGGCAAGAAATAATCTGGTCATAAACTATAGCGATGTGATCTCTCATCGTACTCTCTCTCTTTGTTTTGCCAATGGTTTCTTGTCTTACAGATCCCTGAAAGGTAAGTAGCAACAAAAACATACTCTAAAAGAAGGGTACGACACAGTACATTTGAATAACTTATAACTATGCACATCAACAGAAAATGTACAGTGTGTTTGGGTACAACACAATTCATGAGGAATCGTTATTATTATTAATCACAGTGAATGCTTTATTTCCCAAAAAACAAGCAAGGAGATCTTATCTGCCTATTCTAAAGAATGTAGGAAGAAAGTAAAAATAAATGGGTTTTCTAACATCCAACTCACTTCAGCAAGTTGACTTATCAAAGAGACAAATGTATGGATTCATCGTCGGCATTGTATGTGATTGTGACTGGCCATTCTGCACAACATGACTATACGTAACAAATCTTTACGTAACAAATGCTTTAATTGAAAGTGCATTACAAAAGCCCTTTATATTAAACAGATAAACATAATAATATCGTACTTTCTCGATACTGCACCTCATACAAAAAAAAGTCTGAACATATTTTTCCATTTGCAAACTACTCAAACAAACAAAATCAAAATGTAACATATGGTTTACATAGATAGCTTCCATATCCAAAGTGCTTTTCAGAGAGATGGTAGGCACGTTCCTTACCTTATCGCTATGAGTAGTCTTGTCATAAAATGTTCATAAATAATATTCTCGGATGTCAGTTCAGCTCCTCACCATGAAACATTATGGGGTTCGTCTTCCAAAAACATAACCCCATATTTCCCTTTTTTATACATTTTGTGCTTGATACAAAAAACCTGTATTCCATGTGGTGCATGTCCATTTACCTTTCTCATGAAGGACATTTATGTTACATAGGAAAATAGCATGCAGGTGTGCTTGTTATCTTATCACCATGCTTTATTTTCCACACGCAAAGTCATTATGTTTTCGTTACAATAGTCACCCCTCATACTTACATGGTTAACTGACTATGCAGAGTATTTCCCTAATGGTGGGTTGTAGGCCGCATGTTCTTAGTGGGTCTTAGCATTGGGTTTGAGGCTAGAAACAGTTGTTATGCTATTTTCTGGGTCAATGGCTAATTCTAAAGGCTTATGGTGGGTGGTTCACTGTGCAAACACGTTTGGGAACCACTGCCTTAGAGGCTAACAGCTCTGTACAGATGACAGGTACCAAACTTTCTGATTGTCTTCTATGACATGGGACCCAGCATTCTGTTCTAGAAAGTTCTGGGAGCTGAAATGTAACTTTTAAAAAGAGCCTAAAAGAGCCTAAGGTCAGGGTCATAGAGCTCTATGTGGTGAGCACTGAAGTAGTGGCCATTCTGGACTGTTCTACAGCTTGAGAGGAGAGTTACTGCAGCTGTCTGTCCAAGATGATCCTAGATAAGACATTCATCTTTCAGCATGCTCCTGAAGTGAACTGTGGGAGCCTGATCTCAGTGCATTATTCCTCTGAGGCTGAAGAGGCCAGGCCTGAAACCAACCAAGTTCCTCTGTTGTAATGCTAGTGACAGAGACTGAGCTCTTTCCTCACCGAGCACTTCTTACACTGCACCACGCAGCACCAGTGGAAGCGGCAGAGACAGTTCTCCTCGAATACCACCGTCTCGTCTCGGTAGCCACGCTCGCAGCACAGCAGGTCACAGCCACTCACGTCCATGGCTGTGCTGTTGCACATGCGGCCTCGCGTGCCCAGCGAGCCCGTTTTCCTGTTGGGTGAGCAGAAATCGGGCGATTCGGCTGAGTAGATCAGGTCCTGTTTGTCTGGAGGCTTGATGTTCTGGCCCACAGGAATTAGGGTCTTGCCATCGTTGCCTCCCATCACCTTGGAAGCTCCATTAAACCTCTCCAGCAGGCGATCACCCACCTCGCGAAAGTGAGGCATCTTTTTCCAGCAGGTCCGGAGTGTGCAAGACCCGGACAGGCCATGACATTTACATTCAATCCTCATATAATTCCTCACCGCCTGTAGTTAAGACACAGAGATAGATAGGTGAGATAAAAGCAGACGCTATACAGAAGGAATTTACCTTCCCCCTCTTGCCTCTGGCCTTCCCAGAGCTCACAGACCTTGACAACAGAACAGAACAGAACAGAAATCATTCAGTTATACTTGTGGTAATTAACCCATTCTGGCTGCATGCAGAGTTCTAACCTCTAGTAGCTCTTTAAGATCACTTTGTTGTTCCTACATTTGGGCTCCCTTTGCTACTTGTATGTTATTTTCCAAAGCTGTCCTCCTGAGACTATAATTGGCCCAACTACACAGCCACTCCTCCCCATTTACCTGTCTCTGACCCCTTAGAAAGGTTTTGGCTTGTGTGACAGTGTAACATACTGTGATTAAGCAATACTGACAAGGGTGAGCAAGTCCCAGGAAATTCAGAGCAATAACCTGTAATTACCTTCTCAAAAGAGCAGACAACCTCCAAACTGTGTTAGTGTTTCCCCTATATTCATTTAGCAGCGATGGACCACTGCTGCTAAATTGTTGCCACCGCTTCTGCCGAGATGCGCTTTTAAATGGATAGTCGTTGGCTCAATGACTGGAAGTATATGGGAACAGCTAGCATGTCATTACGCTAACGGTAGTAGCAATGCACCCCCCCACACCCTTGCCACCACTGCTGTGAAAAAAAATACTAGGGGAAACCCTGAGTGCAATGTTCCTCTCTCCCTATCAACAAGAAAGTCATTGTATTTCCAATATTTCACTTTGTCAACATACATTTATTTAGTCCTTAACAGAGAGCTGGAAAAATGTACGTTTTACAAGGATAAATATTAGCAGCTACTTGCCTTAAAGGCTTGAAAACAAACTGTGTGGCTCTCACTTGTTTCCTTGTTTCAGAAACATGATTCTTGTTAAAATATCAGTTTACAGTGTTACAAAACTATGGCTAGAGGCTGTCTTGGATGATGCATTGGATGAAAGGAGGAACATTCAGCTAGACAATTAATACTTTCAGCATCTAAACCTAATTTTCACCTTTGTTTCCAAAAAAGGTGAGCATCAGGTGAACATAATCAACAACAAAAAATCTGAAGTATCCTTTCCTGTACTTTTGCTTATATCAGCAGAGATCAAATAAAACATACGAGATGAGTGTGTTTGGAGTGAATGATAAAAAGTTAGTTCACAGCCTGGGGTGGTCTAGCGTTCTATAAGCTACTGCCTCTAGAGCACATTAACATTGTACAACTGCAAGCATGGGTTCGAATTCGACCCACTGTTCTTTCCTCTCTATATCTATCCGCTGTAATAAAGCATGAAAAAGTATGAAAGGAGTGGGACTGTCACACTCCTTATTAAAAAATAAAATAAAAGTTTCACTGTACCAGTCGTCCTGCTTCGTTGTTGTGGAGATCGATCAACGTCCTGATGTCACTCTTGCCCTTTTTCCTCTTGGCATCCATGAATTGCTTTGACTTCTCGTAGCCAAACTCCACATCGTCTCCGCAGCCGCCCCACTCCCACTTGACTCCCTCGCCAGAGGTGGTGGTGGAGAAGGAGGCAGGCCGGGGGGGAGCCCTGCTCCTAGTTGCCTCACAGCCACACTGCAGCAGCTCCCCCATACTGCAGGCCTGCGTTACCGTGTGGGTCACCCCAGCCGCCGTGATGGCGTACACAAACGCTGTCTCCCGGATGTCTGAAAGATCACACAGACACGCACACACAAACACACACACACAGTGGTGTCATCAGAGGAGCGAACAAAGAGTGACCCAGGTCATTTAGTGCTTTTCCAATGAGTGGGCCGCCAGTGTTTTATGTTAATGTAGGCTCTAGTGTTATTGTGTTCCATCAGGAGTGTGACACTAAAGACTTGTGGCGAGCAGAATCAACAACCTCTGCATCATTCAAGACTGTTGCTTTGTGCGAAGATGTTAAAGTTCACAGTTAGCCATTGATATGTTAATTCAAGCTGAAAAGTACCCAGGGCCTTGCCTTGGCTCCAAGTCAGAGCAGGTCCGCCGGAGCCAAGGCCCAGTGAGACACGGGTGCCGGCCTGCGTAGATTGAAACAGGAAGGTCGGAGCCTTTTGGGTAAAACCTCAATACCCCTGGTATCTCAGATAGGGCTAGCACACAGCTGCAGGGCTATTTCTGTAGAAGGGGGGCTTACCACCCTGGCCCAGAGGGATGTACAGCTGCAACTGAAGATTCCCCTGTCTTTATCTTATGGACCACAACATCATTCGGTATTGTTCTTTGGAAAATATCCAGTTGTATTTTAGGTCAGTTGTCGACAACATCTCTATTCACTGTTTCGAGCTGCTATATTATTTTACATTTTAGTCATTTTAGCAGACACTCTTATCCAGAGCGACTTACATTTTCATACTGCCCCCCCCCCCCCCGTGGGAATCAAACCCACAACCCTGGCGTTGCAAGCGCCATGCTCTACCAACTGAGCTACAAGGAGGCCTATTGTAAGGAATGGGGGGAAGGGAGATCGGCAGTTAGCAGTCCATTGTGTCGAAGCTAAAATGAATGACTTATTTTCTGGAGCTGGAAGACATGAGCGTGCAGTCACCGCTCTGCCTTGTGCCAATTCCATATCGCATGATTCAGTGAATGGGATTCATTAAATCTAGTGAAACAGAATCGGTGCCGTGCGAGGGACCTGCAGACAGGCACCCTGTGATATTAATACCAGCTGTCCGTCTGCACACCCAGTGATGGCTCCATACAGGCCTGTTCTGTGTGTGTGACGTCTCCCTGCCAACCCCAGCCCCAGCTCAGCCCGAGCCTAGCCCCAACCCAGCCCAGCCTCAGCCCATCCCAGCCCAGTCCCAGCCTAGCCCCAACCCAGCCCAGCCTCAGCCCATCCCAGCCCAGTCCCAGCCTAGCCCAGTCCCAGCCTAGCCCAGCTCCAGCCCAAGAACATCCCACCTGAACACACCTCATACTGATTCCTCCTCAGTCCTCCCTACATACTGCTCCAATAAAGCCCCTCCCTGCCTGCCTGTCATGTGCATCGTGCAGGCCATTCCCTATCACACACCATCACTGTTTCTTCTCAGGTTCAACCAGCTGTATAGACTCCCTCGCCAGGCCAATTGAGTGTACAGAAGGGGCAAAGCTGACTAACTTAATAACTTCTGTTGAGACTCCTCTTAGACAGGCCAGTCATGTCAGCTGCTGCTGCAGGAGGTTTCATATAGCCAGCGTCCCAAATGGCACCCTATTCCTTTTATAGAGCACTAATTTTGACCAGGGCCCATAAGCAATACATAGGGAATAGGGTGTCATTTGGGAAGCGTCCATAGAGGGATTGAAGGGAGACGTCTAACAGTCACACCTGTTTACTGTTTCAGCAAGAGAGGTGGAAATAGAGAAAACAACTGCAGACAACTGTTTAGCCTCCACCGAATCTCTAAGGAGTTCAATGTCTAGACAAGTTACAGTGTTGTTTCAGTTAAGAGTTATGTCCTTTAGCCTCGCTTGTCTTTAGCTCCCGGACTACTACACCAATGTGTAATGCAATCATCATATCTACATTGGATAGAAGACGTTCAATTCATAATGTGAAATTAAACTTTATTACAAACACAATCAAAAAGTGTGTCTGTTCAGTTGTACATGTGACCGACCCGCTTGACTAAGATAATAAAAACACAGTTACATGACTACGAGGGAGAGGAGATTATGAAAAAAAATATCTCTTGATTTGAACACCCTTTTATAATTTCCTCCGAGACACAAATTCCAAACTTCTCCAGCAGCCTATGCCTGGGCCTGCCTGAGAGATCACTTTGTGCCAGAAGGGGCTTCACGAGGAATTAGCTAATCTTTTTTTAATACTCAATCTTTGAGTCAATGAGGCATGGGTTCAGGTTAAAAAGAATTGAGAGAACCCAGGGCCCCTCTCTGTAGCAGTACATGTGACAAAGCCTGACGAGTGTGAATATTTTTTATTGATTGATTTTGCTGCCATGTGGCGCAGTCCAGGAGAAGTTCAAGTCTTGTACAGCACATATCTCATTGCATACCGGAAATCCATTCTATTAACTCACAGAACAGTGAGTACACCAAGTAATCCCTAAACATGCATAAAATAGACAAACACACTTACTCCAAAACTATACACATTCCACCTTAAAAATTATGCATAGCCTTAAATCGCACAGCTTTTACTATAATCTGATAATTGACTCAATGCAGCTGCTCTGTTGATCTCTGAATGGCGAAAACACATATTTCTTTCATCATGCGGAGTCCAAGGCCATAAGCCCCTCTCAAGCCCTCAACTTCGAGCCAGAGGAATGTTCAAGAGTGTTCTGACTGTAGCTGGACATTGGTGATCACTGGATGCACACTACTGTGCCTTAACGCAGGTGTGAAAATAAAAAAAGGATTATATTGAAAAAACAAGAAAAATCATAACTAACAGTAGCTTAACTCCTGGAGCAACGGTCTGCCCCAGTGGAGCAGTGAGCGTTTGAAATGAAGTTGAATGGTGTTACCTGATACAAAAGGCCATTATAACCTCTTTCTCTGGGTTTAGAACAGAGGAAAGAAGCAACATCTCCACTTTGATAATATCAGTGTCAGGACCTGATGCAGGATCAGGATCAACCCTATGTAATTCACACTTCAGGATATAGTAGAGATCAAGGAAATTATGGTGATAGATCATTACCAAGAAATGTGATCTCCTAAGAAGAAGATAGTACTTGACTTTAAGTGTTCACGGTGGTATTGAAAATGTTTGAATGTTCATTTATATTTGTCCAATTTATCCCATGTCCAAATGGGATAATTTCACTGACATTACTATGACATTATGCCACAGTGTCTCACCTAATTCAGAGAGGAACGTGTGCAATGTTAAATAAGTATGAGTTTTTAAATAATTAGTTTTTGTATATATATATATATATATATATACAGTGGGGAGAACAAGTATTTGATACACTGCTGATTTTGCAGGTTTTCCTACTTACAAAGCATGTAGAGGTCTGTACATTTTATCATAGGTACACTTCAACTGTGAGAGACGGAATCAAAAAAAAAAATCCAGAAAATCACATTGTATGATTTTTAAGTAATTCATTTGCATTTTATTGCATGACATAAGTATTTGATCACCTACCAACCAGTAAGAATTCCGGCTCTCACAGACCTGTTAGTTTTTCTTTAAGAAGCCCTCCTGTTCTCCACTCATTACCTGTATTAACTGCACCTGTTTGAAATCGTTACCTGTATAAAAGACACCTGTCCACACACTCAATCAAACAGACTCCAACCTCTCCACAATGGCCAAGACCAGAGAGCTGTGTAAGGCGATCAGGGATAAAATTGTAGACCTGCACAAGGCTGGGATGGGCTACAGGACAATAGGCAAGCAGCTTGGTGAGAAGGCAACAACTGTTGGCGCAATTATTAGAAAATGGAAGAAGTTTAAGATGACGGTCAATCACCCTCGGTCTGGGGCTCCATGCAAGATCTCACCTCGTGGGGCATCAATGATCATGAGGAAGGTGATGGATCAGCCCAGAACTACACGGCAGGACCTGGCCAATGACCTGAAGAGAGCTGGGACCACAGTCTTAAAGAAAACCATTAGTAACACACTACGCCGTCATGGATTAAAATCCTGCAGCACACGTAAGGTGCCCCTGCTCAGCGTATGTCCAGGCCCGTCTGAAGTTTGCCAATGACCATCTGGATGATCCAGAGGAGGAATGGCAGAAGGTCATGTGGTCTAATGAGACAAAAATAGAGCTTTTTGGTCTAAACTCCACTCGCCGTGTTTGGAGGAAGAAGAAGGATGAGTACAACCCCAAGAACACCATCCCAACCATGAAGCATGGAGGTGGAAACATAATTCTTTGGGGATGCTTTTCTGCAAAGGGGACAGGACGACTGCACCGTATTGAGGGGAGGATGGATGAGGCCATGTATCGCGAGATCTTGGCCAACAACCTCCTTCTCTCAGTTAGAGCATTGAAGATGGGTCGGGGCTGGGTCTTCCAGCATGACAACGACCCGAAACACACAGCCAGGGCAACTAAGGAGTGGCTCCGTAAGAAGCATCTCAAGGTCCTGGAGTGGCCTAGCCAGTCTCCAGACCTGAACCCAATAGAAAATCTTTGGAGGGAGCTGAAAGTCCGTATTGCCCAGCGACAGCCCCGAAACCTGAAGGATCTGGAGAAGGTCTGTATGGAGGAGTGGGCCAAAATCCCTGCTGCAGTGTGTGCAAACCTGGGCAAGACCTACAGGAAACGTATGATCTCTGTAATTGCAAACAAAGGTTTCTGTACCAAATTTTAAGTTCTGCTTTTCTGATGTATCAAATACTTATGTCATGCAATAAAATGCAAATGAATTACTTAAAAATCATACAATGTGATTTTCTGGATTTTTTTTTTAGATTCCGTCTCTCACAGTTGAAGTGTACCTATGATAAAAAATTACAGACCTCTACATGCTTTGTAAGTAGGAAAACCTGCAAAATCAGCAGTGTATCAAATACTTGTTCTCCCCACTGTATATATATATATATATATATATATATATATATATATATATATATATATATATACAGTACCAGTCAAAAGTTTGGACACACCTACTCAATCCAGGGTTTTTCTTGATTTTTACTATTTTCTACACTGTACAATAATAGTGAAGACATACAAACTATGAAATAACACATATGGAATCATGTAATAACCCAACAAGTGTTACATCAAAATATATTTTATATTTGAGATTCTTCAAAGTAGCTACCCGTTGCCTTGATGACAGCTTTGCACACTCTTGGCATTCTCTCAACCAGCTTCATGAGGTAGTCACCTGGAATGCATTTAAATAAACATGTGTGCTTTGGTAAAAGTTAACTTGTGGAATTTCTTTCCTTCTTAATGCGTTTGAGCCAATCAGTTGTTATTTGACAAGGTAGGGGTGGTATACCCTATTTGGTACCTATTTGGTTACCAGCCTCAGAAATTGCAGCCCAAATAAGTGCTTCACAGAGTTCAAGTAACAGACACATCTCAACATCATAGGTTCAGAGGAGACTGCGTGAATCAGGCCTTCATGGTCGAATTGCTGCAAAGAAACCAATATTAAAGGACACCAATAAGAAGAAGAGGCTTGCTTGGGCCAAGAAACATGAGCAATGGACATTAGACTGGTGGAAATATGTCCTTTGGTCTGATGAGTCCAAATCTGAGATTTTTGGTTCCAACCGCCGTGTTTTTGTGAGACGCAGAGTAGGTGAACGGATGATCTCCGCATGTGTGGTTCCCACCGTGAAGCATGGAGGAGGAGGTGTGATGGTGTGGGGGTGCTTTGCTGGTGACACTGTCGGTTATTTATTTAGAATTCAAGGCACACTTAACCAGCATGGCTACCACAGCACTCTGCAGCGATACGCCATCCCATCTAGTTTGCGCTTAGTGGAACTATCATTTGTTTTTCAACAGGATAATGACCCAACACACCTCCAGGCTGTGTAAGGGCTACTTGACCAAGAAGGAGAGTGATGGAGTGGCTGCATCAGATGACCTGGCCTCCACAATCACCCAACCTCAACCCAATTGAGATGGTTTGGGATGAGTTGGACCGCAGAGTGAAGGAAAAGCAGCCAACAAGTGCTCAGCATATGTGGGAACTCCTTCAAGGCTGTTGGGAAAGAGTGTGCAAAGCTGTCATCAAGGCAAAGGGTGGCTATTTTGAAGAACCTAAAACATATTTTGGATTTGTTTAACACTTTTATGGTTACTACATAATTCCATATGGGTTATTTCATAGTTTTGATGTCTTCACTATTATTCTACAAAGTAGAAAATAGAAAAAAATAAAGAAAAACCCTTGAATGAGTAGGTGCGTCCAAACTTTTGACTGTGACTGTATATACAGTCCATTCAGAAAGTATTCAGACACCTTGACTTTTTCCACATTTTGTTACGTTACAGCCTTATTATAAAATTGATTAAATAGTTTTTTTCTTCATCAATCTACACACATTACCCCGTAATGAAAAAAGTAAAAACAGGTTTTTATAATTTTTGCAAATGTATTAAAAATCTAAAACTGAAATATCACATTTACATAAATATTCAGACCCTTTACTCAGTACTTTGTTGAAGCACCTTTGGCAGCGATTACAGCCTTGAGTCTTCTTGGGTATGGCACTACAAGCTTATATACCTGTATTTGTGGAGTTTCTCCCATTCTTCTCTGCAGATCCTCTCAAGCGCTGTCACATTGGAATTGGGAGCGTCGCAGAAAAGCTATTTTCAGGTCTCTCCAGAGATGTTAGATCGGGTTCAAGTCTGGGCTCTGGCTGGGCCACTCAAGGACATTTGAGACTTGTCCCAAAGCCAATCATGCATTGTCTTGGCTGTGTGCTTAGGTTCATTGTCCTGTGGAATGTGAACCTCCTCCCCAGTCTGAGGTCCTGAGTGCTCTGGAGCAGGTTTTCATCAAGGATCTCTCTGTACTTTGCTCCGTTCATCTTTCCCTCGATCCTGACTAGTCTCCCAGTCCCTGCCACTGAAAAACATCCTCACAGCATGATGCTGCCACCACCATGCTTCACCATAGGGATTGTGCCTGCCAGGTGTCCTCAGACTTGACGCTTGGCATTCAGGCCAAAGAGTTCAATCTTGGTTTCATCAGACCAGATATTCTTGTTTCTCATGGTCTGAGAGTCCTTTAGGTGGCTTTTGGCAAACTCCAAGCAGGCTGTCATGTACCTTTTACTGAGGAGTGGATTCTGTCTGGCCACTACCATAAAGGCCTAATTGGTGGAGTGCTGCAGTGATCGTTGTCCTTCTGGAAGGTTCTCCCATCTCCACAGAGGAACTCTGGAGCTCTGTCAGAGTAACCATCGGGTTCTTGGTCACCTCCCTGACCAAGGCCCTTCTCCCCCGATTGCTCAGTTTGGCCAGGGCGGCCAGCTATAGGAAGAGTCTTGGTGGTTACAAACTTCTTCCATTTAAGAATGATGGAGGCCACTGTGTTCTTGGGGACCTTCAATGTGACAGAACATGTTGTGTACCCTTCCGCAGATCTGTGCCTCGACAAAATCCTGTGTCAGAGCTCTACGGACAATTCCTTCGACCTCATGGCTTGGTTTTTGCTCTGACATGACCTGTCAACTGTGGGACCTTATATACACAGGTGTGTGCCTTTCCAAATCATGTCCAATCAATTGAATTTACCACAGGTGGACTCCAATCAATTTGTAGAAACCTCTCAAGGATGATCATTGGCAACAGGATGCACCTGAGCTCAATTTCGTGTCTCATAGCAAAGGGTCTGAATACTTTGTAAATAAGGTATATCTGTTTTTTATTTGTAATACATTTGCAAACATTTCTAAAAACCTGTTTTCGCTTTGTGGGGAATTGTGTCTCCTGAGTGGTGCAGTGGTCTAAGGCACTGCATCTCAGTGCTAGCTGTGCCACTAGAGATCCTGGTTCGAATCCAGGCTCTGTCGTAGCCGACCGGGAGACCCATGGGGCGGTGCACAATTGGTCCAGGGTAGGGGAGGGAATGGCCGGCAGGGATGTAGCTCAGTAGGTAGAGCATGGTGTTTGCAACGCCAGGGTTGTGGGTTCATTTCCCATGGGGGGCCAGTATGAATTTTTTTAATAATGTATGCACTCACTAACTGTAAGTCGCTCTGGATAAGAGCGCCTGCTAAATTACTTAAATGTAGATTGATGAAGAAACAATTTAATACATTTTAGAATAAGGCTGTAACGTAACAAAATGTGGAAAAAGTCAAAAGTTTTTGTTCAGTATATATTATGAGTAAGTATATATTTTGTATCTATTATTTGTGTTAGATTAATTTGGATTTTAAGAATAATGACTAAAGGATTTCACCCCAAATACAGTATAAATGTTAGAATTATCATGTAGTGTCAACCCACTAACAGAGGGGGCGGTACTAAACATTCAAGGGTAAAGGGGAAGGCGGAAACTGTTTAAGAAAGCCACCTAAAGGTGGGAGGAGCATAGTGCCTTTGTTTGTCAAGAGGTATAAAAACAGTATGTATGTGTTTTTGGCGCCAGAGCTCTCCATGAATAAATATACAGATAATACTTGTGGGTTGTGGACCTTGAATCATTGATGATTAAAACCAGAGCCTTACAACCTCTGGTAATGATTCAAGCTTAGGTTGAATTAGAGATAGAAATTCACATGACAATTTGTTATTTGCTAACTTTCCCATGAAATGAGCAGCAGCAGTAGGCTACAGAACAATCGCTAGACCGGCACATTAGATGGCACATTCCTCACTTGCTAGATGCACAATTAAAGGGCCAGATGTGCAATTAAAGCGGAATTACAATAAAAAATCTGATGCGATTTAACCATTGACATGGACTCAGAACTAATAATTATAATTTTGAGATTAATCTAAAATTCAAAATCTAAAACCAGGAAAAATACAACTGAGAAAACATAATTTGGGGAAAAATGTATAGCCCCCTTAGCGCTGTTTATTAACCATTATTTTACCAGGTATATTGACAGAAAACATAGTGCACTACTTTGTCTTGTACACTAAGGACCGGGAAGAGTTGCAGGGGAGAGGAGAAGAGAAGAATGTGCCTATTTGAAAGCTAGAAAAAAATGTGTGGCTCGCGGCATTTACATAAAAAAAAAAAGTAGCTCTCTAGACCCCTGATCTAGTGTGAATACTTTCTGAAGGCACTGTACATATTCATTTGAACAAACTTTAAGAATGTTTACATAATGTTTATTGTTCTGAAATTATTTATGTGTTTAGGAACAGATAAGATTAGCATTCCTGCAGCATTATTCTGATCTCTGAAAAATTTAACTAATTGATTACTCACTTTATATGTACATACTGTATTCTCGACATATCTCATCCTATATAACTACAGCTGTACATACCATTTTCCTACTTATATATTGTCTATACTGTCTATACACACCATGTATTTATATCCCGGACTTTGACATTGCTCGTTCTGATATTTCTTAACCTCTTGTTTCTTCTTCTTTTTTTTGTTTCTTTTTTTTCTTGGGATTATTTGTGTATTAGTTTATACTGTTAGACATTTACTGCACTGCTGGAGCTAGAAACAAAAGCATTTAGCTTCACCAGCTCTAACATCAGCTAATCTGTGTACGCGACAAATAAACTTTGGTTTGATTTGAGATATGGTTTATAAATCTATAAAGACCGAATAATGGTGATCCAAACTTCTTTGAAAATATTTATAATAATTGACTTAGTCTCCAAGATACAAATAACTCTATTATAATGGTAGGGGACTACACCACAGATTTAAGTACGTCAATAGACCTACAGAAAATAGTTACAAACAATGGAGAAATCCTTATCACACCAAAGTAGATTTTGAATAAGGAAGTAAAATATTTTAAACATGTTCTCTTGTCAAGTTCCTCCAACCTCACTTGACAATGGGTTTTGTGATATCCTTCTCCAAAAAATTATGTTAAAGGGGCAGTGCAGTTAAAAACGTGATTTTCTTGTTTTTGTAATGATATTTCTACACTATGATGTCAAAACAACACTCTGACATTGTCAAAACTATGATAATGCCTTTTTTGTGTAAGAGCTTTTTTTTAAAGCCTGAAATTTCAGGTGGGATGGAACTTTTGGCCCACATCATGATGTCACAATGTGATATGATTATAACAAACCAATGACTGTTCATCTGGGTAAGGGGGTGGGCTCTAGACAGTTGCCATGGCGCCCTAGTAGCAGCCTAAGCACAGAGCTCCTGTAAATGTGTACATATTTAGTTATTTTTAGGTGTTTTTAATTGTTGATTTTAAATCAGCTCTTTTGTTTTTGATAACATTTAGGTTTTATTGCATATATCTGGTGTTTTTGAGCCACGGATTTGCAGATTGACTGACAGGTTAACCATTTTTGTCTTAGGCTAGCAAGCTAGCTGGCTAATGTTGTTGTTTGAAAAAAATGCATCTGTACATAGTACCAGCTTTTTTTTTCACCTGGCTGACAATTCCTGATCTTCTGAGAACATCATTTGAGGAGTCGACCTGAAGCGTGAAAGGAATGGGAGATAGATGAATACAGCAGTGCTGAGGCAGAGGGCTCGTAGTGAGGACGACTGGCTACTATACTGAACTTTATATGGTGAGCTTTCTGGCGCCCAGAGCTGCTAAAGCATCACCCAAGTGGGTGCTACACAGAGTGGAAGAGGAGAAGTCCAGTGGCTATAAGAGTCAGGCTGGTTCCCAGATTGTCCTCTACAAGATCATCAACAGACTCCATCACTATTACATTTACATTTACATTTTAGTCATTTAGCAGACGCTCTTATCCAGAGCGACTTACAGTTAGCACATACATTATTTTATCGAACCCACAACCCTGGCGTTGCAAATGCCATGCTCTACCAACTGAGCTACATCCCCTATCATCTACCATCCTCTGACCAGCTCTATAGAAATGTAATAAATTATTATTAATGATTATTATTATCAGCCAACTAGGGCTGTGTTTGTAAATATCTTCACATTTGTTTCTTAACACCCACATGATCACACTGAGCATTTCAAGGGCCAAAAGTGGCTCAGGGAAATAAATTATCAAAATATATACGGTATTTGAGTTATTTTCATTTTTCATTTTTTTAGACATACGGTGATGATTTAAAAAATAAAATTACAAAGTCTGAATGGGGCTTTAAACTATCTGCGACACAAAAAAATACCTAATTACACAGGACAAACTATGGTTGGCAATGGATTCCTTTCAGACAGGGAAAACCCCTGGCCTCGATGGCATTCCAACAGAGATATATCAAACATTTGATGAACTACTGAAATATCCTTTACTATCATGTTTTAATTACTTGTATATAAATGGCAAACTGTCGGACACACAAAAATAGGTACTGATCTCTCTCGAAGGCTTTCTCAAAATCTGCTATTAAGGTTTTACCTAGCTTCCCTTAATTCTCATAGTTCTCAATTATTTGTAGTAGTCCATTTAAGAATCCCTTCTGATCGTGATGCAATGCAAAAAGTATTGGCAAAATGTATTGCTCATAGAATTAAAAAGGTCCTACTGGACATTATTCATCACGATCAGAAGGGATTCTTAAATTGACTACTACAAATAATTGAGAACTATGAGAATTAAGGGAAGCTAGGTATAACCTTAATAGCAGATTTTGAGAAAGCCTTCGATACAGTACGTCTAGAATCAGTTTATAAGTGCCTGGATATTTTAAACTTTTCAACATGTACAACAATCATTTGTCAAGAGGCGTAAAACAAGGTTGCCCTCTGTCCCATACTTATTTATTATGGCCATTGAACTGTATGCAATTGGCACAATACCTTTTACAGGCCTTTACATGTAGTATGTTTGATGATTGAAAGCTATCCTTTTTCATATTCTTCAGTCAGCATGGAGGGAGGGGAGGCCACAGCTGTATCCTGGAAGTGGTATGCAGCGATGGATTAGGTAAATAGGCACCTATAGGCAGAAACTTAAACAGGAAGCTCCCCTGGTAAGGACTGCGCAACTTTGGTCTGACCAATCGAAGATCTATGCCTCAAAATTGTTTTGCAAGTGGACTGGGAAATGTTCCGGGTTCCTCTGAGAATAGTATCGATGTATACATTGACTCGGTGACTGGGTTAATCAGGAAGTGCATAGAGGATGTTGTTCCCACTGTGACAATTAGAAGTTATTCAAACCAAAAACCGTGGATAGATGACAGAGCATCGTGTCGGGCAGTATCACCGCCTGGTACGGCAATTGCACTGTCCGCAACAACAGGGCTCTCCCGAAGGTGGTGCGGTCAGCCCAACGCATCACCGGGGGCACCACTAGCTGGCCTCCACCCAGTACCCTGACCTGAACCTTAGTCACTGTTCTAGCCGGCTACCACCCGGTACTCTACCCTGCACCTTAGAGACTGCTGCCATACAGTATATACATAGAGTCATAGAACACTGGTCACATTAATAATGTTTGCATAATGTTTCACCAACTTTATATACAATACCAGTCAAAAGTTTTTTTACATTGTAGAATAATAGTGAAGACATCAACACTATGAAATAACACATATGGAATCATGTAGTAACCATAAAAGTGTTAAACAAATATTCTTCAAAGTAGCCACCCTTTGCCTTGATGACAGCTTTGCATACTCTTGGCATTCCCTCAACCAGCTTCATGAGGAATGCTTTTCCAACAGTCTTGAAGGAGCTCCCACATATGCTGAGCACTTGTTGGCTGCTTTTCCTTCACTGTGTGGTCCAACTCATCCCAAACCATCTCAATTGGGTTGAGGTCGGGTGATTGTGGAGAACAGGTCATCTAATGTAGCCCTCCATCACCCTTGGTCAAATGGCCCTTACACAGCCTGGAGGTGTGTTTTGGGTCATTGTCCTGTTGAAAAACAAATAATAGTCCCACTAAGCGCAAACCAGATGGGATGGTGTATCGCTGCAGAATGCTGTGGTAGCCATGCTGGTTAAGTGTGCCTTGTATTCTAAATAAATAACCAACAGTGTCACCAGCAAAGCACCCCCACACCTCCTCCTCCATGCTTCACGGTGAGAACCACACATGCAGAGATCATCCGTTCACCTACTCTGCGTCTCACAAAGACACGGTGGTTGGAACCTAAAATCTCAAATTCGGACTCATCAGACCAAAGGACAGATTTCCACCGGTCTAATGTCCATTGCTCGCGTTTCTTGGCCCAAGCAAGTCTCTTCTTCTTATTGGTGTCCTTTAGTAGTGGTTTCTTTGCAGCAATTCAACCATGAAGGCCTGATTCACGCAGTCTCCTCTGAACAGTTGATGTTGAGATGTGTCTGTTACTTGAACTCTGTGAAGCATTTATTTGGGCTGCAATCTGAGGTGCAGTTAACTCTAATGAACTTATCCTCTGCAGCAGAGGTAACTCTGGGTCTTCCTTTCCTGTGGCGGTCCACATGAGAGCCAGTTTCATCATAGCGCTTGATGGTTTTCGTGACTGCACTAGAACAAACTTTCAAAGTTCTTGACATTTTCCGGATTGACTGACCTTCATGTATTAAAGTAATGATGGACTGTCATTTCTTTTTGCTTATTTGAGAAGTTCTTGCCATAATATGGACTTGGTCTTTTACCAAATAGGGCTATCTTCTGTATATCACCCCTACCTTGTCACAACACAACTGATTGGCTCAAACACATTAAGAAGGAAAGAAATTCCACAAATTAACTTTTACTGTTAATTGAAATGCATTGGTTGAGAGAATGCCAAGAGTGTGCAAAGCTGTCATCAAGGCAAAGGGTGGCTATTAGAAGAATCTCAAATATAAAATATATTTTGATTTGCTTTACACTTTTTTGGTTACTACATGATTCCATATGTGTTATTTCATAGTTTTGATGTCTTCACTATTATTCTACAATGTAGAAAATAGTACAAATAAAGAAAAACCCTGGAATGAGTAGGTGTGTCCAAACTTTTGACTGGTACTGTATATAATAAATAATAAAAAAGAATAAGTATGCATCCCAAATTACACCTTATTCCCAAAAGTAGTGCACTATATAGGGAATAGGATGCCATTTTGGACGCAGACTAAGTCTGTCACATTCATAAGGAAGGACTACTGAAGGACCTAGAATGTGTGGTGGTTGTTTTCTCTCCAGGAGTCTGGAGAAAACATCTCCACCCAGCCAGACGATGCAAAGCTCCCAAATGATGACTGACAGAGAAGCAGACAGAAGCAGGAACATTTTGACAAAGGAATATTGAGCTGCATTCCTGAGGTGGCAGTAGAAATTATATTCAGATTATTATATCTAATCACAACCACATATTGTCTCTGAGCACGTCTAACCTCTGGCCTCGGGAAGCCAACACAACAACAGCTCTGGTTTATAAGTTAAAATATATAAGAAAAATAGCCTCAAGTTATTTTTGCAAAGGGTGAAAAATGTAAGCTACTTTGTGCAGCAGCCCCAGCCCACCGGGTTCATGTGAGAAAGTGAACCTGTCTTTGCAGATCTCCCTGCACTGACAAATGGTCATTAGCGGTAAATCTTGGTAATTGTGCTGAATGCTTCAAAACAGAGGAGCACTTAAGCCTTACCTATAGACATGGAGGAATTTATGATTAATTACCATTTTGCCTAGCAGTTTCACAGAGTTCTCCAGTTCTCAGTGAAAGGAGTAGCTAATGTTGTAGCCTAATCCTGACAGTAAAATCTCTTCACTCAATTCACACTCAACTAAAGCTACAAAGATGCTATTCAGATCAGTCTGTATGTGAACTGATCAGTCCAATAAGAGTGGTCACATATAACCAGGTCAAATCAATGTTCTAGTTGTATCTCTGACAACGTTTGGATCAACATTTCACCAGAGGAGACATACCACACAACAGGCACTCTGCCCTCTGCTGGCTCTCAGCAACAAAACAGGAACGATACAAACCACAGTTTACAGGAAGATGACGTATGTAATGTAGCACAGGAGGTATCATCTTAATACCCAGATCTTCCTCATTGAGTGACCAAAATTATGTTAAAGCACCTGCAGAATACTTAGCTTTACCACAGGAGATTACAGGCTTCGTCTGGAATTACTTATATGGCTCGACTACGGCATGAGATATGTTTAACTCCGAATATAGTCTTAAGAACTAGGCAGCGGTTCTTTGAGACGGAAAATCTTTAAGTGAAATTTATAATGGGCATTTCTTGTGTCAGATTACTGACGATGAAGAACAGGAATTTTGTCAGTGCCAGCGGTACGTCAGTACTCTAATTGTTTTGAATATGAAAGACGTCCTCTAAAGGCCATGTATTAGCTAAATAGTTAAGAAGATAAAGCCGATAAAGGATACACTGTATTGGATCTAAACGGTGGCTTGTTGACAAAACACTTCCTTGTTGGTACACACAGAATGGTCTCTATGAACCACGAACAGGAAAGTGAAAAAGGACGAGACATCGTACAAAAAGCAGGACAATAATTGCATAGTAGCAGGACCCTACATTAGTTTTATTTCTGACTTCAAAGAGCACCGATGATGTTAGAGATCAATGGTTATTTTGAAGCAATTTAGGAGATAATTTTGAGTGTGCAATTTAATGCAAAAGAGGAGCAGTCAAGTGTAAATATGTCTTGTTAACACACAACAGATGGCCTTGTTCTCCACTGTACTTGGGATCAGACCTGAAATTGAAGTGATGCCATTGGCTGTGCACTCAAAGGGTCAAGGGGTCACGTCCTAAGTGATAGACTTTTGAACCATGAGAAAGGCACTTAGATGATCATTCTCCATGTCAGGCAGCATGTGTGTGGAGGTATTGGAAAAACTAGGGGGTAATTATTAAAGGTTCCTATTTATTTCCATAACGACAAGTCTGCACTCACCTTGTTGGAGTATTTTGCCAAAGTACTTGTTCTGACTGGTGCAATTCCAGCGGCGAAAGCGAAACTGGTACTGGCACTCCCGTACACCCAGCTTGGCACCCTTGGCGACCTCGTGGACGATCTCTGGCTGGGTCTGGCACAGCTCAGCCTGCTTTCCCGCTAGTCGCTTGGTCTTCCTGCAGATACTGTTGGGATCCATAACCAGAGGGCTCCCCACTGCCCTACAGGGAAGCACACAACACATAGACAGTGACTACAACTCCTGTATCATACTACAGTGGCATACCATTATTATGAGGTCTTGTTACATTCCAGAGAAGTATCTTACCCAGAAGTAGCACTAATGTTAAATGTACGTGTTCTTCAGTCAGGTAGTTTGATTACTTGACATCACATAGTTGTACAAAAAAGACATTTCAGGTGTGGAGAGAAATAGTAAAGCTGTGATGATCGTCAGGGAACATAGAAAAGAGAGAGAAAGTTGCATCTTAATTGCTGGGTTTCTTACATCGCGTTGACAGATGTATGTTTACACTTAGGTAAATTGTTAATTTCAATTCCTAATGGGAGTACGGGCCTCAGGTCCAACACTGTGAACTCTTGCCAGTACTTCCCATTACAGTTGCTATGACATAATGTGAGAACAGCCCTATCCCCCTGTTTCCTCTATTCAATAACTCTGCATCTGACTCCAGTTCAGCTGATGTGATCTGTAAAGCTCAAGTCCATTTTTATCATTATGTGGGAGTAGAAGTGAGTGAGAATACCTCATTGCTTTTCACTCACCCCTGTCACAGCTAATCTTTCTAACTAATAACATTAATCTGCCTCGTGAGTTTGTTTTAAGAAGTCAAACAAGCGCTCTTTCCAAACCCTAGAATGGTGGTCTGATAAGAAGCATGAGACACAGGATAGTTGCTCTTAAAATGTAATGCATCCCATCTCCGGTAAGTCAATTACTTTATTAAAGTCAAAACCATTTATATATCAATGTCTGAAATGTCACTGTAGATCTGTGATTCAATCAAAATACCAATTATTTGTACAATTAGATGTACCTTTTTTTGTTATAGCGTCATGGAAAACTACAAACGTAACTGCCAACATACTGTACACTTGTCCTTGAAAGACTGAGAAATAGCATAATGGCTGCACAGATTAAGCATATAGAAATTCTTAAAAGCCTAATAATTCACATTGTCCTAAAAGTGGGGAGTGAAAAGCAACTTAATGCCCACAATGTGAGTTATGTTCGCTGAAGTGTGAGAACTTGACTCCGACAGTCCAGCGGCAATGACTTCTGGGATCCACACATCCTTCAATGTATTGACAACGTCTCCATAGAAACGGATTACAGGGGAACACATCTCAAGCACGCTCTAGTATTCCTACACAGATCTGACTCCAATGCAACCACACCCCTATGTAATTAAGATCTGCAGATGCAGTACTTAGCAGACACCCCGGGTCTTTACAACCCCTGATTATCTGATGTGTCTTGGCCTTCAAACCTGCGTGGATCTGTGTGCTAGGATCACAGCTTTGAAATTGGCTCAGTGAGCTGCTCACAACAAAAAGGGACCAGGATTTACTGCAGTAGGTGACTCGTAAAAATAGCAACCCATGTTTGACAGAGTTTCTTCTCCAAGTCCTGTGTCATTGTTAAAGTCAAAGGCAAACCCTCCTAGCCCAATTCAAAAGAAACGCTTGAATATCACATGAGCAGCTGACGCAGCTTGAACAATGACAGGGCCGGCCCTAGCTTTTTGGGGGCCCTAGGCAAAATTTTGTTGTGGGGTCCCCCCCACCTCACGGGCAAAACATTATTGTGGCTCCCCTCTCGACGGCAGAGAGAATTTTTTTTAGTTTTAGAGTTAATTTTCTGCAATTCTATATATTTTGCCATGGGGTGTAGAGAACATGTTGCAGTTTATAGCACATTTGCTGCAATTCTACACATTTTGCCATGGGGCGGAGAAAATTTAGCAATTTTATAACAAATTTCATGTAATTCTGCTCATTTTGCCATGGGTCAAGTTTTGATAGCTGGCTAGACTAACTTACCAATCTACTAAAATGTTGCTGACATGGGCTAATTAAGTGATTGTCAGTGACTGACATAACAAGAGAAAGACTGCTGATGCGTAACCAAATTTCGAAATTGCACCTTGTGTAGTCTACTATTCCAACTCTCAACAGTAAGTTGAGACACCGACTGAGTTCCTCATTTTTTGTAAAATATTATATATAATTTTTTTTATGGATCGGGGGCCCCCTAGCGACCGCGGGGCTGGCCCGGAAACACTGGCATTGACCAAGCATGCGGTCTGAGTATGGCTCCTGCAATATGTAGATGAAGACATTTGTCTGTCTTGACCACCATACTGTGTTCCAGTGTTAATCCAAACCAGCACTAACCTGAACAGGACCCAAAGAGGAACATGATGCTATCAGTGTTGAATATAAAGGATAGGGATCTTTATAAGCACACATAAAAGGAACTAAAAAATCGAGCAATCAGTCTTCCCTGTTCATGCAATGTGTCTGTATTCCTTTGCTTTATCAGTCACAGTAAAGCTCCTGGACATGATAACGTTGAAACAGAGTCCAATCATAACAGAAACGAGGATGTATCGCCATCTATGCAATCAAGAGCCCTCTAAACAGCGCCTCGCATTAAATATCATGGAGATAACCAGAGACCAAAATAGAGCGGGAAACACTGATAAAATGACAAGTATCCAAATAATCAGTCTCAATGCAGGCCGACATTATCCTTTGGAGATAAGCCGTTCTTCTAGCTGTATGTGTACCTCAAGTTACATTATTAATTGCATGGCCGTAGATATGTGGCCTTTTTTCACTTTGCAAACGAGTGAATTTCATCCTCCTTAATCCTCTAAGTATGCTGGATATGAAGTCAGTCACGACAAGGCTGGATCGCTAGCTAGAGAGTGGTTTGGGTTCAGCTCTGTGGTCCGTGGCTCAGAGCCATGGCCCAATCATCGCTAGAACTCAACACTAAATCAAGTGACTGGAACCGGGGTCCTGCATGACACCGATGCACCGCTGCTGTCTGTCACATGTTTGTCTTGCAATAAGTGAGGACAGCATGAGGCCTACGCATGCACTGAAAAATCCCAACGTCTGAAAATCGGCAGAGGCCACATGGTCTGTGGTTAAACACTGTACATAGTAGCCCTGGCCAAGCCCTGTCATTGAATATTTATCTGATCCCATCTCTATGGCCTGGATTGGAAATCATGCTATTGTCCAGAAAGATACACTGCTTTGAAATGGGAGTGAGAACGATAAAGATCTGGTATAATGAAGTGCTTCTCTGCAGGTGATGCAGAGCTGTAGATTGGCCCATGACCCATTCCAAGCCGGGTGAGTGGGAATGGCACACGCTATATGCACACCTGTGGGCCACGCTCCTGGCTGCCTGCCAGACTATGACCCAGACTTACCCAGGAGGACCAGGAGGTTACTTGTCCTGAAACTTGCAAAGACATTCCACACTTTCAGGTCTCACTGCTCTCTGTCCAAATGATTAGAGCCTAATCAAAGAAGCTCTGAAAGAAGGGGTTTATCTCTGGACGTTTCATCTCCCCCACAAATGACATCCTGTCTGTCTGGTCAAGCTGACAATCATTTGCTTTAAAAGACAAGGGGTAGAGAGACAGGAGGGTGATGGCATGCCCAGCTCTCAACAGAAAGCATCTTTGTCCTGTCAAACTGCAGGACCTCCAGGTATGCTCACCTGAGTGCTCAAATGTTGTCTTAGAGGAGAGATGTTCACAGTTCAGCAGTACTAATAGCTGACCTCTATCGAGATTGGATGAGAGGCAAACTTGAAACGGTTTGATTTATCTAAACATCCCCCTTCAGATGTGCATGTCTCAAATTCATTTATTATACTTTATAAAAAAATCTGGCTCAGTCTTTTGAAGTCTCATACATCTCAGAGTGCTGAACAAAGAATTGTTTTATGATGACATATAGGCACTGCCTCAAGGTCCACCTAAAATTCCAACTCTGACACCACTAATTTCTCTTTTTTTTTTCTACAGACAATGGCAGACCTCCACAAGCTGCAGCTTAATATTTCTGGCTAGCCAAGGCATAACCTTAGGGTCTTTCTTTTTTATATTAATTTTTTATTTACATAACCAAATTTTATAGATGTGTTTGTTATCAACAATAAAAATGCTGTATTGAAAAAATATTTTGTGGTAAATTAAGAAATGTTGAGAGATTGACAGAGATTGTTTAGTCAATCATTACAATTTATTTGAGTAAGGTTGCAGTATGGTGAGAGGTTAAGAAAACCAGAACCTTAAATTAGAACGTAATTGTAGACAAAGCTTCACAATGCGGTCAAGGTCATCAAACGTGTTACCATGTTATTACACTTGTCAATACAAGGCTATTTGAATAGTGGTTATATCAATAGAGTCGGATCCAGAATTGTATGTATTTTAGTGCAATCTGCAGAACATGGACACAACATCAAGAACATGGACACGCGTGCATAACCTAGCCTACAGAACATCAGATAACAATGTGGTTTCACCTTATTCTGAGAAACCTCATTTCCATTTGCAACTAAACTGGGAGCACATGTTAATTGTATGTAGCATGACTTACCACCATAACCCAATAATATTGACCGGACATAGGAGAATGAAAAACAGGGCAAGTTGAGTCCGAGATAATGGAATCGTCATGATGAGATTATCCTACCAAAAAAAAAGTTATGTTAAAAAGTTAGAGCCGCCAATCGCCAATTACATTAATGTGTTGTTGTTTTCTTGGGACGTCCTGCAGAGTTGGTGATCTGCAGTATTCAGAACCTCCACGAAACGCGCAAAAAGTCAATTGAACTCCTCTTTGGATGCATCACTAACGTTCGATTACTCGGTCAAGAGGGAAGAGACATCCGTGGTGAAATGTGTTAACCTCTTCATAGTCCTCTCTCTGGCAGACAGATTCAAAACTCAAATGCCAGAGGAAGAAGTGACAAGCACGTCCTAACTAAAACACACAAATTCCAATAGCACAGCGATTTTAATCTGGCAGCAAGGATACTACAGCCCGGGGGTGATGGGATGCAGCCAGACTTTGGGCAGAAAAGTAAACCCAATGACCCAGCAGATTCCGTGTGGACAATTAATGCTGACGTTATAGCGCAAAAGTAATAAATTGTATTGGCCTTGGT